CTTTTTACAGCCACATTTGCAAACTACAGCATAATTTATTTTAGACAAGCATCGCAATAGTTGACATCAATAACAAAAAACATGCACACATTTTGGAAGAAGTTTAAAATTAAATTATGAACCTAACTTTTTAATTCAATTTCGATAAAATTAATTTTACTCGGACGAAAACTAGACATTTAAACAAAGATTAATTGAGTTTCTTCAGCACATTAAAGAAATGAGAAATGATTTTGCGAAATTTAACCTCAGACAACCTAAAGGTTTTTTCAAGAAAAGAAAAAAAAGAAAGGGATACTTTAGATAATAATTATTGTATGTGCATAGGTTTTGAATTTTTTGATATTTGCATAAATGTGCGTAGTATAAAATTTAGTTTGATGGTTTTTTAAAAAATATTTCCCCGTTTGTAAAATGTTTTAAATGAAATATTTTGAAGAAGAAACGAGTCTTAGATATATGTTGAAGTAATATTTACATTCCCTTTACGTTAGAAAATCGAAAATGTGCATAATTCAAAAGTTAACGTATTGTCTTGAAAAAAAGATTAACACTCAGACTACGTTGGTTGAAGAAACATGAATTTCATACAGGTATGGAATTTATTCTAAAAACCAAATCCAAAAGTATAGCTGCTTTCTTTAAAATAAAAATTTTCAAATAAATGTTGTTGCCATAAGGCAAATAACTTTTTTCTACATTTAGAATAGAAAAATAATCAATTACACTAAAGAACTAAAAGATCCTTCTCAATGTTATAAGTTAATGATTTTAAAAAATTCGCAGTTTGTGAAAATTATAAATTTTTATAGATGCTTTGAGAATTTTGATTTGTTAAAAATCACACACACAAACCAAAGTTTCAAGGAAATTTTTTCTATCGATCCTAAAACTAAGGAAATGTTATATAAATTGTTCTCTGGAAGTAAATATAACTTGACTTTGTACAAAGAAAAATGTGTTTGTCCCTAAAAACGAAATGTCTTAAGATATTTCGTTTCAGTAAGTTTCTTCTTGTGTGCACTAGGAACGGTCAGAGAAGAAATATGAAACTCGTTTTTCTTTTTTGTGGGAAGTAAGTAAAAGAACTCTGTAAAAAGACATCTATTCCTAATCTACCATGTTACTAATGATCGAATGAAACTGAGAGGAAAAATTATTTGATGTTGAGGTAAAAAAAATTGCTAAATAAACATTTATTAGAATATTTCGAAATAATAATATTTGTTGTTGCTGCCAGATTAAACAATATAATAACGCGCATTAAGATTCTTTAGACCATTGCCACCATATATTTATTATTAAACCTTCAGATCAAAATTCGAATAATCGTCCCACTGCAACCACAGCTGCTCAATTTCCCTCGCCATTTATTACAACCCGACCTTTGCGATGTTTGTAAGAGTAACCATTTGCACAAATATATTCTACAATTAAGAGGATCTCATAACCGAGGATATCTGTCAAAGGTAGGACTGTGAAATTAGAATTCCAAACATTAAATATTGAAATTTCCGCTATACAGTAGAAACTTAGGTTATATATTGACTGTGTGTGTCTATAATTGATTAATTTCTCTTAAGTTTAATGTGCCACGAGAGGGTGAGAAGTTGGGCTTAAATTAAATACTTCCAGAAATAAATAACAAATGAAACGTACATATTAATTCTACTGCAAATAAAATGTAAGGAATGTTAGGTTTATATTATTTAATTAGGTTAAGTTATGTTGTACATTTTACGTAT